GCTCAAGTGTCTTGAAAGTTCTCTGCTCTGTCAATATTCATGCTTTGCTGCCTTGGTGTTGTGTTTTACTGTTCGCTCTAATCTCTATGGCGTTTTTTTGGCTTCTTTTGAGTTGGCCATATGGTCTTTGTCCCCACATTAGGATCCGTAACAAAGAATTGATTTTACCAGGATTTTGTTTGGTTTTGCGATTCATCAAAGACTTGACGGTAGTGCTTTTGTTCTTACGTGTTAATTTCTAGTTTCTAAGCTTTCGCACATGTGGTGATTTATCAACGACGCACTTTAACCTCAACTTTAAGTTAAAGAAAGAATTCGAATCTGTTATCATTCGATATCTGCCTCTCCATCAACTCTAGTCCGTTTGGGTACTGAAGCGCAAGGTGGTGGCATGAACATCCCAACTGCTGTGGTCATTGAAACTCCGGTGGGGCGCACGGCCCAGGCCGCCATACTTGATCATCTTATCGATTCCATGTCATCTCGTGTCATATCCCACTCGCGGATTTCGCAACAACAACAGGCGGAAGGACAAACAGAAGCCTCGAGAGAGCCCCATTCACATGTTCGGAACACCGCGTCTTCGGGAAACTCTCAACGTTCCCCTTCTTCTCTTCTCACTGGTCTTCTACCTAGTCGTCACGGGGATACTTTCCTGCCCTGTAACTCGCGTCACTTTTCTGGGACTCCAGCTAGCGCTTTTCACATCCCCGTCCGTCGCAGGCGCTCCTACGTTGGTTCTGCATCGGGTGGTGGGGCCTCCACACCTCGAAGGCAATCTATCGGTACCGCGGCCCGCCGGGGCAGATCGGCCGGCGCTCAAATCGGTACAAACTCAACAACCAGTGTCCAGGCTCCTTCATCCACCACATCGACTTACACATCACGGGTAAGTGTGTTGCGTTGTATCTTAAAGTGGCTTGTCTTATCATCATTTACATTCACCTTTATAGCCACCTTACCAAAGTTTTTTGCGCTCAATGGCCACCGCAGTCAGCTCTAGTGGTGTTAATGCGGAACTTTTCAACAGAGCCATTGGTGATGTAACTAATCAATTAACGCAGTTGGTTGCCCATGGCATTGGCTCGGGTTTCAGTGCAGCCACCGCTTCTACCGCTGGCTCCACCACGGTCGGACCCTTCACCTGGATAATTAATAATCCCCAAAACGGAGGTGTTCAGTTCATTCCACGTATGCTTCTGTTTTATTTGCTTGCTGTTAAAGCGGTAGTTTCGTGTGGTTGCTTTGTGGGCGACATTTCTATTTTCATAGCCACAACTTGCAATAATGTAGTTATTGCTCTCCGTTTTGGTGCCTACCACTTCTTGTCTCTACCTTCCTCTATTCCAATCGTCAGCACCACAATTCTTCTTCCATTCGACGACCGGTGGCGGCGCATCACAATCAGGACCGGGTGTACGATTTTCCATGCTTCCTGGCCTCTTGGTTGACAGTCTCATTCGATCCATGTGGTCCTTCATTATCGAATTAGCGCGAGGCCAACTTTCGCCGGAATCATTACGTAAGCAAATTTCACAGTCTATTGTTTATGTTCTGCTCTAAAGAGTTTCGGCATA